TCTTGTTAAATAAAGCAAGGTCAGATACGAAGTGTCATTATTTTGAAGTATGGAAAAAATTTCCAATCAAAAATATGCAAGTTAATATACATCGATGATTATACAACGTATTCAATCCCGAAATACACATGCAAAAGTAAACGCGATTATATTAATTATTTATTGCAGTAGCGAGTTGCCATATTTCGTGAATTCTTGTATATGATATGTTATACTAGCTAATATCGGTAATGTATTTGCAGTAATAATATCACCAATTGCTTCGGGTGATAAGTGAGTTGTACTTGATCTTAATCTTCTAAACATTTATATACGGAGAAAAAAAATGATGAAAAACAGATATATTAACTGATAATATTCTTGGAAAAAATTTTTATTATCGGATATATGGTATTACAAATTCTATAGATAATGATTTGCGGTATAAATCATGCAAAACATCCTATATATGAAGCTTTATACTTAAATCGTAGTAATAACCAGCATCAGAAAATGTTACGTTTATATCATTTATTTGTGTGACGATCATATTTTTTGTAAAATTTTTAATTTGGACCCTTGGCTCACATAAATGCATGATCTAAATTTTATGTCTTTGCTGTTATCTCGATGCCTTTTTCTAAAACAGCGGAAACATGAGATTCAGTAGATATACTTACCTCGGTTTCCGGTAAAGATTTAACTTCCTCAAATATCTTATCTTCTGAATTAGAGATATGAGTTTGCAGAGCAAGATACGAAGTATCTGTATAATTAGATGTGGTTGAGATACTTATCTCGGTTTCTGGTAATTTTGATAGAGACTTTTCTGATCGTGAAGAATTCTTCACAGTTTTTGAGATCACATGATCTATAATATTTTGGATTCGTTGATAAGTGAGGCTTGAAATCGCATCATAAGATACTTGTTTAATCTTTTCTACTCCTAATGTATTAAATAACTTATATATTTTTTTAGCTCTAAGGATTTTTTGACGTAAATTTGTATCTGTTATATCAGGTAGAAGTTGTTTGATTTCTTGATATACCATAGATGTTGCAGTTTTTCTTTTAACTCCCCTAATAACAATCTCATCGATTTTTTTGTCATATTTTTCTATAAAATAATACCAGCAAAGTATCCTGATTGAATGGCTTTATAAAATGTATAAACTATGCTTTCCAAGATAAGTCTTGATCTTGAAGCCAATATAAGGTTATAGGAGTAAGTATAGATGTTGACAGTTGTTGTTTTAACTCCTGTTCCGTAATTATATTTTTATCCAACTTTATAATAACTTCATGTTCAGATTCAATAAAATCTCTGGTGTTAAGTTTATTAGAGTTATTAAGCATAGTCAATTCTGAATTCTGATTATGGTCTAATGGTAACTTGGATGTATTAACTGAAGATAAGTCTTGGGCTTGAAGCTTCTTTTCCCTATTTCTTTCTCTCATCATATTAGTAACCCTTTTTTTTTCTTTTAAATTCAGAAAATCAATTATTTCTTTATCTTCTGGTGATATAGATGAGTTTGAGACTCAAGACTTCATCTCTTAGGTCAAGCTATATTCAGGCAAAAGATCAAGAATAATAACTTCCTCCTTGATAAACTGATCCTCGATAAGAGGAGAAATTTCTTTTGTGGAAGTATTATTAGAATTTATTTCAGGGGAGATAGGCACTTGTAAACTTATTGGAACCTGAGAAATATTAGCATCCTTGTCTTGTAAGTTTTGCTCCTTGATTAGTGAGACATCGTATTCCAGTTTTGTGAATCTGCCTTTGTGTTCTTCTAGAGTTTGTTTTAACTTCATATTCTCAGCTTTAATCTCAATATTTTTACCCTTGACTATGACATATTTAGCCTCAACCTCAGTATACTTTTTTTGAAGTTTGGAAATCTCAACATTCTTCTTCCTAAGTTCAGTAATCTCGGATAAAAGCTTGGTATTCAATTCCCACAACATATCGATTATGGATTGCAGATTTTCCATTGTTTTATACAAGATACGGATATGTTCAAAAGTTTGAGTAAAAATCACATGACACTGTGAAATAAAATGCTATTTTGTACTGTACGAATAGTGACTTGTACAGTTGATTAACTAATACTAGGGAAATGGAGAAGGTAAAATGGAAAGGTATGGAGTCCGGTCAATCACATAAGTGGTGTACATCCTAAAAATCGATGTTAAGTATGGTGTACCTAAAAAAACGTACAAAAAGAGTACCATACAAATTTGTACATTGTACAAAATTGTACACCGTACAAATGTGTACGGAATAAAAAAATTTTTGATACTCCACATCTTATCTTTGTTAATAAATTAACATTCGAAATGT